GTTGTAAAAACATAGAAAAGATGAAATTGATATTTTACAATTTAGCAAGGGCCTAGTTTTAAGGGGGATCCACATGGGGGTCCAAGGACCCAACTCCCACATGTGGGTAGGCCATATAAGGGTAGGACATGGGGCCCAAAAGGGCCACTCATCACACATAGTGGGACACCCTAATTAAAATTAAAATATTATTTTATTATTATTTGCTTTAGGAGTCCTAATTGTATTCAAGGTCCTATTTGGATTAGGATTCCTATTTAGACTAAGACTCTTACTTACATTAGAATTTGTATTAAAATATTATTTACTTTAAGAGTCCTAATTGTATTAGGAGTTCTATTTGGATTAGGATTCCTACTTGGACTAGTACTCCTACTTAAATTAAAATTCAAATTAAAATAGAAGTCAAATTTATCCTGGTTTAACTAGAAGTGGATATGGATCAAAGATTCAAGGGATAAGGTTCTTAAAATTCTTCTCCAAATCATGATGGCTATTTTTGAGATGAATGGCTCAGATTTGCTCTCCCTCTCACCGCACAGATTACCAGGAATCCTATTGGTCAAATTGAATTCTAAGGCATACATACCCTAGACGTCTTGAAAAACTATAAATAGTGGGGTCACCTCTTATTTCATTCATTGAGTTTTCTTGCCTCTCTCTCTCTCTCTACTCTCCATGCTCGCACCCTCTATAATTTCTCTCTCATTTGTCTTCCTTAGAGGGTGGCACGGCAACCTTAGGACTAAGGAAGGGAGCAAGCCGAGCCTAGGTTGTAGCAGGGCGGTGCTTCGTAGTGACATACCCTAAGAGCTTTCAGGAAAGCCCTAGACCCAGTTCACACTCTCATATCGCAGTTCTTTAAAGGGTATTACCTGAGGAGCTTCCCATTATATAAAATTCAGCAAGGCCAAAGGTTCAAGAAGGGCATCATTGGTAAGGCATATGAGTGTGGGTGTACTAAGTCCTAAGGGGGTGAACCTAACCAAAGTTCAGTAAGTCTTCCCAGCCTAATTTATTCATTATCAAATTAGAAGTTATTAATATATATAGTAAATTCCATTTGTATTAGATTTCAAATCTAAAGGTTTGAATTCAGCCTTTTGATAAAGTTTTATTTTGGCAATAAAAGTAAAAGATCCTAGATTGTAGGATTCTTTTTTCCTATATCTACATTATATTGGGGCAATTGTAAGTAGAAATTCTAGTTATTAATTTTTTTAAATTCAAACCTTGAAATTCTACATAGCCACACCTTTCATTTTTAAAAGATAAGACATCAAATTCTCAAAATTTAGGAATGATGAAAATTAGAGTTTGTTGACAGGCTTAGAGTTTTTAGATACCCATCTTGTATTAATTATTAATAAATTTTAAGTAACAATTTTTCAAATAATAATTAAAAAATTCAAAGCATTCCACAAAATTTTAGGCAATCATTAAACGCTTTGATATTTTGGCAGTCATTATACCACCTGACTTGTTAAAGTGTGATAACAAACTTAGCATGGAACTTGTTAAAGCGTGCCAGGGAATTCATTTCTATGGACAAAACATAAAAATTAAAAATAAAAATATACTTCAAAATGAAGCTTCATTTTTAATGCCTTATGTTCTAAATATCTCTTATAACTATTCCTAAAAATTGGAAGCAGGGTCTCATATTAGTTGAATCATGGTCTCGTGCACCAATGAATTGCAAAATTTGGTGAGATGGAATCTAGATTCGAAAGCCATCGGAGCGAGATTAAAAAATTGTGGAATAGTGATTTCTAACTCCCAGGAATCAAGAATGTGGTGATTCCATCACAAAAACACAGAATCATGATTTCCAATTGGAATCGCTACCTAAGATGAATGATTCTGGTAACTATAATACGAAGTTAGTGAGGAGAGAAGGTAAGAGGAATTTGAAGCCCAACTTGAATTTGCAAAGAGTGCAAGTTTGGAGGATATTTACCATCATTAGACAGCATGGGCTGGTATGGAGGGGTAGAATGCTCGACTGGCAGCACTACTATTGCGGGGGTCTTCGAGGGTAGAGGCACATTGGATATAAAGGGGATGTGCTCCTAGTTTATTTAAGAGTACTACTTTCATGGAGAGGGCTGGAAGGCGAAGATCACAGATTAGACCTCCTGGGCCCACTTAACCCACAAACCTTTCACAACTTTCCCAAGGTCTGATTGAACCTTACCACTCTAAGACTTTGCATAAGCAAATGAACATCAAGATAAAAAACAAAACCATAAGGAAGTGCATTTTTAAGGACATAGTAAGTGGTTTTTTTGTGCTACGATCCCCTTAACACAGCAAATAACGAGTATTACTCATCTGTAATCTCTAATTTTACTAATGCAAGGCCTGGACTCAAGCTCCGCACTTCAAATGAACTAAGTGGGGCCTGCTTAGATGTGCAGGCACCTAAAGCGGACCAACTAATTGATGGGCATAAGAAAATGGGCATAAGAAAATGCGAAAGAGAACAAGGCACTCATGGTTAATGGCTGGAAGCACATTAAGGGAGAACTTTTTTTAACATATCCGCGCATTGCCTATGCTGGACGGTGTTCCACAACAATGTAAATGCTCAAGGAGCAGAGAAAGATGGCAAGTAAAGTGAGTCAGGAGTTTAGTTCAAGCTATAAACTATATTATAAAGATTGCATTTAGAGCATGGAAGATGTTAATGAAGTTGATGAAGCATTTGGTATGGAGCCCTATGCAAGCCATTGCATTGACCTCATGTTAGAAGAAATTGGTAAGCTCAAGAGTGTGAAAGACATTAAAGACAAGGGAAGACGATCACAAAGTTTACATACAGTCACTTCAATTTGATGAGGCAACACACTAATGGGAGGGAGCATATTAGGCAAGGAATCACACGCTTTGCAAACTCATTCTTGTCCATGGAATCCATTTTAAGGACGCACTTAGGGCTCAAGAAGATGGATGCTTCAAACAAAGGGGTGAATGCCTCTATCTCAAGGATCCAGGCTAAGGGAAGTTCAGGGGATAATTAGTGGCAGGACATTTTGAGATAGGAGCAGACAGACTGTGGCAGCCATGGAATATACGGATACGAAACATGCTATGGAGTTACTGTACAAAGCAATTCACCAAGCGAAGCATGCCATCAAAGCTTCACGTTCATTCTCCAACATAGAAGTGGGGAAAGCCAATCGTAGGACACCTCATTGGGTCATCCAATTCCCTCAGAAAGCCACTGGTCTATACATATGAAGTTTTAACCATTTAACTATGGTTTTATCATTGATGATGGCGGTTCTCTTAAAGTTTGTGTTATCTAGGTCTTTTTCAACCTAGGCATTCACCCATTTGTACTAAAACAATCACTTACACCCCAAGGTCATGAAAGGGGTCACATATTGCATAGATAGATTAGAGACAAATGGGAAGAGACAAATTGAAGCTCTGAAGGACTGGGAAGGAAGAAGAAGAAGGTGGGTATCAATAAGTAGGAAGAAGAGAAAAAGATCAGAGAAGACCACAATTTTAAGGGTTGATGGGAGACATACAAGGAGATGTAGGAGGAGATGATGATGACGATGCCATTGGTACAAATAATGATCATAACACAGGGGTGCCTGAGACTGAGCCCAGAGCAGCAGGGTGGGGGGCAAGCACAAGGGTTGGACTAGGATTTAGGTTAAGAGGGGGTAGCCAACTTCTTAATCGATAGGTTTGTTCCTCAACTGATACAGATATCCTCAGGATAACAAGGTTGGGGTTGTGTGTTAGAAAGTAGTACCCAATTTCTCCAACCTACAAACTCGTCCCTCAACCAATTAGGATCTAGTAGGTTGATGACTATCAGGCAATGCTTAGGATGATTTTGAGCCTCCTAACCATTTATATTGGCAATAGAAAGTGTAATTTGATTTATTTAGTTATTTATAATTTGACAGTTAGTTGCTAATATGGAACTCATTATCGTTATGCACTCCATTTTGGACTGTGGAATAAATTTGAGTTAATTAGACAGATAAAAGCCCCCTAATTTATATAAGTATACATAAATTTAATCCAAAATACATACATTAATGGATTTTTCATAAAACAATACATCATATTTAGGAATTTTTCATTTTTTCACTGTTTTGGGCAGGCTCACACTGAATTGGCAGCTAACTCGGAGACCTGCAAGCCGACTCATATCTTTAGATGCCCGAGTCAGCACCTAATTCCTGTATTAAAAACACTAACTCAAGTTGGCTAGAACAATTGCAATTATACTTGTAAAGATTTTAAGAAAATGTGAATATTATTAAAAAGTACCTCTATCAAAAAAAATGTTCTTAAAAAGTATCAATTAACTCAAGTCATATCTCAACAGTCCTGATAGTAAGAGTATGATGGGCATATGCATAGGCTTGGGGATAATGTTCGAAATTGGAACCTAGAAAACATATTACTTGTGCTATGTTTATTGTGAACCTTATTCTACCATAAATTGTTTGCCACATACTAAACTTTAATATTTGTAGAACAAAGGACATGTCACTTATTCTTCTGATGTACTAATATAACCCTAAATATTTATCTTAAAGAAGATTAAGGATAAAAGAACATCAAGATACTTTCTAAATGTTGTTAATCAATCACATTTCCCATATGTAAAGACAACCAATCTTATTCATCAAACTACAATTCACATCACAATTATAAGCAATAGCCATTCACCATGGGAAATCCAATCATCCACATCGGACATCCATTCTCAAGACGGTGGACGTGAACCGTAGTACCAATTAATATTCACTCCCAAACCACCGTACATCTCCACTATCCATCTTGATGAATATGATGGTGGAAACCAAGCTGTGTATTATGTACCATTAAATAGAATTTGCCTATTCACAATTCAGTGATATAAAGATGTCAATTATTACAGAAGAAACTAGCAAAATCAACGCAAATGTATTTTGAATAGCAATATGCTACTTATATTCTTCAATGCAACAGCACAAATAACTCACCATTTTCAGGATCACCTCGATAGCACCCTTCCCTTCACCAAGAGCACCATCAATTTCATCAATTATCTGTGGTGGACATTACTGAGATTCTACTAAATAGGAGAAATGAATAAATAGTTGGTTTTTTTTTTTTTTGATAATGGATAAATAGTTGGTTTTTGAGATAGAACCCACCAGACATTTTGGCTTGGAATCAGCCATGATAGAATTCATTTGTACTACATCAAGTATTTTCCCCTCGATGGTTGAGGCTGATCGATCATCACTTGCATTAACCTGAAAGGACAGGTTTCCTATGAAGTAAGATAAGTACAGAAAGCTATTGAGATTGAAAAATGGGAGAAATGTCAACTTGAAGAAAATGGAATACTAATTTAGTAATAATTATGACAGAACTGTAAACCTCACATTACCAAGCACCAAATATAAACAATAATACCTGTAAATCCCTCATTATTCCTCAATTTAACAGGCATTAATATACTTGTGTTTTGGATGGTAATAGGCATCAATATCAATATAATAGAGTAGGGCAAATTTTGAATACTCTACTTTCAGAGATATGTCAGAGGATCCCATACCTCCACCACACGATAACCACAGTGTCTGGCAGCAACATGGGCAAGTGTAGTCTTCCCAAGACCCGGAGGACCACATAGCAAAAGGACCTACAGAAGCAAGTACATTAGCAAACTGCAAGACCTCGATAAAAAAGTCAAAAGTCATAGCACAACTAATTTATTTTATATTTCCATAACTAACCTTCTCTGGACGATCATTTCCACTGGACCTTTTATTCCAAAATCTAGAAATGCTTTTCACATAGCTATCTCCTGGAATCATGCTACTTGGTTTCTTCAAATCCTGAACCTCTCTTAGGGGGGCCCTATCTTTATTGCTGTATGAACTCTTATTACTGTGACGTTGAGACGGAGAAGAATGTCTTCTCAAAGAAGTCATAATATAATCAGGGGTGGCCCTGATTTGAGATCCAAATACACAAGGATCCCATTGTTTCAACCAACATAGGACCTGAAAGACATAAAACATACAAGAGAAGTAATTACTGATGCAAAGATTGAGCTAGAAAACAGATAATGAAATGGCCACTTTCTTTCCAATGAATTTTGATTAAGTACAGATGCCATGAGGCAGAGATTAATAGTACCTCCCTATTAGTCTGTTCATCACTTAGAAGCTCAGTGAAAGAACTTGGAGCATATTTGTCCACCCAAAGCCGTTCACTAGCCTCTGGTACCAAGCAATGGATCTCTTCATCTGGAACTCGAGTGCTTGCAAGACAAGCCTTTGCAAGGCCAAGCAACAAGTCATCAAAGTCACATATACAAATCAAAGAAGCCAACATATAAAGTATAAAAAAGATTACAAAATGGTTTCATGATGCTGAAGCATTGAATCAATAACTGCTGATGGGTCCAAAGTTAAGGGAACAGAGCATTGGAAAGACAGCTGAGAACTATATATTCTCCAGAGAATCAACAGCAGCATCAAGCATTATATCTTTTTAACATATAGGAAACTGTGCCACCTGAATTAGTTAACCTCTGTGCCGAAAAGAGAGAAACACACCTTTTGAAGTGCCTCTTGTTCCACTTTTTCCATTAAAGACCTGATAGGTTCGGAAAGGAGCCCTGCAAGTGTGCAAACATGTTTTATGAGATGATGTACATATCAGCAATATTTCTTTTCCATGCTTGAGCCATGAGAAGCTTGTCTTGCTATCAATATGTGATGGACTTCTTCATGCACAATTCCTTTTTCTGACAATGTGCCAAGAAAACTACAATTCAAGATCAAGGATGGAATTAATAAATTGAGATTATTTGTTCTTTCCTTTGTAGCTCCATAAATGGCAAGTTTTTCTTCTTTTTTTCTCTATTCCTTAACCAATCTAACCAGAAAAAGAGTCTTGCCACACCTCAAATATTAAACAAGACTACATTCTATAGAAAAGGCAAAAAAAGCCTTGCACACCAAGGACCTAGGATTTCAAGAAAGCCTTGCATATCAATTTCAAAGGATGTGCATTATAGTTTTAGTTTTAGGGGTTCATTTCTAGGGGTTTTAAGTTTTTTAGGGATTCTAGGGTTTTTATTTTTTTATTTACTTCATGAATAATATTCACAAGCATTGTTCGCAAGTACTGTTTATGGGTTCTGTTCACAAGGGCAAAACTGTCATTATGAATTTAAATTTAAGTTAGGATACATGGATCAATGTATTATTTGTTTGGACACCTTTTGTACTTAGAAAATTGAATAATATTATAAAGAGGTGTAGGGGGCCCTAAGAGAAAGCAGTAATATGATTTTCCAGAATTGAGAAAAAAGAACAGCTCAGGCTTTTGCTACCCTAGCTAGGTTGTGAAGAAGAAACCCTAGGTTTCTTTGAGTTGTGCTTGTGTTTGGCATTATTTCTTGCTGATTTTATTGTTTTATCAAAATTTCCTGCATCTTAGAGCTCAGTCTTCAACAACAAGGCCAACGAATTATAGCCAAATCTAGGGTTTACGGACTTTGGCCTAAGTTTTGCCAAATCAACCTAGATTTTGCTGGTTTCAGCAGATTTTTATTGATCATCTGCCTATAATTTGTGATTTTCATAAATCCATGGCAACAAGAAGGGGCTGGTAGGGGGGACGGATTCATAGACCCGCTCTATAATCCCAAAGATAACATAATTGAGAAACTTGAAAGGCAAGTTCAGCAGCTGATGCAACAATTCATGAGCCTGAATAATAGGCAAGACGATGACCTTTCAGCCAAAGTGGATCTCATATACAAGCCTTTTCACTTTCACGCTCCGTGTGGGGAGTCGAATGATCACTCCAGGGTTTTCGATTTGAAAGATGAAATTCTTAATTTTGACACAGTTTGCATCGAAAGTCAACAACTTGTAGATTAGGATTCACCACCAATCTTCGACACATAATCTGATGAACGATAAGATCGTTTTGAGAATCTAATCTATGATGTGGATCAAGATGATGATGAAGAGATTTTGGAAGAGGGTGAAGAATATGGAGAAAAGGCACCAGGAGGACTAATCCAAATCATGGCCTTTGAAGATCTCATTCATATTAAAGAGGTAGAACATTCAAGAAATTTAGGGTATTAGAATCAAAGTCACACAAATGAAATGTGGCCAACTCATAAAACCGCAAACTGTGGCCCTAATTTCAGGAATTAATGAAGTATAGAACGATTACACTTCTAAAGACCAGAAATTGAGTTTGAAGTTTCCTACATGATTTTCAAGGGGAGTTTAAAGATAGCTGTATTTGATAAAGTTGTATTGATTCCTCAATATACAGATTTGGATTCATTCCTTGAGGAATTCTGTTTACCACGAATAATATTTGAGCCAACAAAAAAAAAGTTGAAGAAGGTTGTTTTGATGCTAAATTTATCTTAGCACACTTCAAAATTTGAGGACGAGTTTTCTCCAACCAGGGGAGAATGATGGAGGGCAAAATTATTCTTATTTTTAGATTGTATTCAATTTCAAAGGATGTATATTATAGTTTTAATTTTAGGGCTTATTTCTAGGGTTTTTTAGTTTTTTAGGGATTCTAGGGTTTTTATATTTTTTTTATTTACTTCATGGGTGCTATTCATAAGTACTATTCACAAGTATTGTTTACAAGTACTATTTACAAGGTAAAATTGTCATTATGAATTTTAAGTTAAAGATAAGACAACATTATCAAAAAAATAAAAGTTCAAGATAAGATATATGTATCGATTTATTACTTGTTTGGACACTTTTTGTATTTAGAATATTAAATAATTTTATAAAGAGTTGCGTGGTTGCTTAGGAGAACGCAATTACGTAATTTTCCAAAATTGAGAAGAAAAAAAAAAAGCTTAGGCTTTTCCAACCCTAGCTTGGGTTTGGAGAAGAAACCCTAGGTTTCTTTAAATTTTGTTTCTGTTTGGCTTTGTTTCTTATTGATTTTAATGTTTTCTCAAATTTTCCTGCATCAATTGAGGACTTGGATTTGAAGTTTTTGAAAGACCATTAGAATTAAGATATACCATGCAGATAGACTAACTGTAGATAGATATATATAAATAACGGTATATCTACCAAAAGCATGGCACTGGCTCATAGATCATGTTATATTATTGAATAACAAATCTTCAAAGTTAATTTATTTCTAGATAATTTGTGTGGTTAGCAGGAGTTCCTGATGTTTAAATAGACAGAGATCTTTCCATGGCCCTGTTTTTCAAAGACATATAAGAACAAGCTCATGGGAACCTTTTGCAACAGGAGAGACAGCACAGATAAATGTTATCCTACATACCAGGCAGGCAGGCAACCAATTTTCGGACCAGTAAAATGAAGAAATATTTCTTACAACTAAGGAACCCATATGTCATAAATCTTAACTTCTTAAGCAAAAGAAATCCAAGACACCAAAGAGAATATTCAAAATCCCATCCCTCCTCACAATATTCAAAGCATAAACATCAGTTCTAAGATAACAAGAATCTGACGAGACAAAAAAATTCACGTCGTATATAGGACAGAGACAATAAATATATGGATTGAGAATCAATCTCTATCTATATATAATTTACATGAGAAAAAATATAGGTTTTTTAACTAAATGTTCAATATTTTTATCAAGCAAAAGAGAAAAAGCAGCAAAGAGGGGGAACTCTACCAGTTGGCCTTCCGAAACTAGGGATACTTAAAACCTATTAGCAAAGAGGAGGAACACTACCAGATGATGCCCTTTCAACACTAGGGTTTCTGAAACCCAGCACCTCCCCTTTGCTCAATCTCGCATAAACCCTGACTCCTGAAGTTCCAGTTATGGGAACAAAATCCCCTTCAATTTCTGAAGCAAATCGAGAAGGCCAATTTTCATCCCAAACTGACCCATCATAAAAAGATGAATCGTCTGCCCCCTCTTTAGGATACCTAAGCCAATCTTCATCTTCGTGGCATTCCTCAGCAAGATTGGGTAATTTATTCAATTCCTCAGAAAATGTTTCCTTTTCTGCTGCCTTTGTTGGGGATAGTTTCCTTTTTTCCGGAACATTTGTTGCTTCATACCCATTGGATCGCATCCTCTTCTTCTGGTTTTGCAAAGGGAGAGGCAAATTGTCCAGCATTTCTAAGTACATTCACAAGAGAGAATTTTAGAGAGAAAATAGAAGAGTGAGAATAAAAGGGAACAATATTGTTCCAATTCAAGATGAATGTGTACCAATTTCAGGTTCTTCAAAATCCTCATAATGGTGAGAAGCACGGTGTTCCAACCACTCAAGCTTATCAGAAAGAGGCATAGCCATGTCCATTTCCTTTCCAGCATTTCCTTCTGGTGATTTTTGCTTATTTTCAGGAACATTGCCAATTAAAAGTACGCTTTTCTTCAGGGCTGGGGGTGAGAGAATGGATTCTGCTAACTCTGGCAAAACCGTTGTTGGAAAGAGAGTAATGAGAATCGAAGGGTTGAGAAAATAAATATTTGGAAAAAGAAAGTGAGATATGAAGTGTGTTTACCAGAGGGAGGTTCGTCTGGTTCTGGTTCTTCGTATTCTTCTTCGTATTGGTGAGAGGCGCAGTGCTCAAGCCATTCGAGCTCATCTTGAAGGGGCATATCCATGTCCATCTCCTCATTCATTTCTGCAACTGAGAGAGGAATGGCAAAACTGAGAAACCTGCAGTAGAGATAGAGGAGAAAACCTAGAGAGAAAGAAATGGCGCCCTTCAATTATGAGAAACCTAGAGTGAGATAGATGGTGTGATAGAGAGAGAGGGGGACAGAGTTGGCGCCATAAAATGGTGGGTCTTTTATCAGGTCGTCTTGGCGGGAAAGCTTTGCATCGAGAAAATGACTAATATTACCCTCAGACTTTGCGCAAAGTCAGATCTCGGTTTTCATAAAGGAAAATTATTTCATGCGGCGGGGATCGCATTTCTACTTTTGCAGTCCTCGAGATACAAAGCATGGTACAAATAAGTGATCCATTTAAAAACACTTCAAATGTTTTCTTATTAAAATTATTATTTTTAATTTTCAAAATTTATTTATTTATTCATATTCATGACCTCCATGTTAAAGATTACATGTCTACCCTATCATTTAGTTGAAGGCCTCCCCTACTATCATGAATAAAAAAATGGATAAGGATCCCCTTGCCTAATACCCCTAGTTGCACTAAAATAGACCTTAGTTTTTCAATTGAAAATAAACTAACAAATAGGGCTGGCAATAAGCTGGTTGGCCCTAGTCCTAAAAAACTAGGGCATGGCCCATAAAATGTGGCCCTAGGATCCTATCAAGGCCGCCCTACCATGGCCAAAGGGCATAGCCCAACGAGGCTTGGGCTAGGTCTACAAAAGGGCCAGCCCATGGGCCCAACCTAGTCCTTCCTTTCATATGTTTTGTTGTATACTTTTATTATATTTGGTCGTTCCTGGGTTTGGACTAAGGCCCCTTCAACCATGTCAAGGCCTGGTCGGGCTTGGACTAGCCCTGTATGGAATAGGGCACAAGCAGGCCCAATGATGGCCAAATCCAAGCTCGACCCGTTGCCATCCCTACCAAGATATGGGTCGATAATATGCGCCCATTCATTCAAACTCTCCATCTAGCATTGAAACCCATTGGGTTGATAATCGTTGAAAACGATTCCCAATCTACACAATCATAGGCTTTTTTGAAATCTATTTTGCAAATAATATTTGAATCTCTTTTTCTTTGTTTTGAATAAATATATTATTGCGCAAGCAGGATACTAGCAGTTATTGGTCTTCCCTCAAGCAAAACAGATTGGTGGTATGTTATTGTAGTTCAAAATTGCTTTTAGAGAGAGAAAGTATTCTTAAAATTGTAGAGAGAGAAAGTATTATTAAACTTTTAGAGATAAACTATTCTAAATTTTAAAAAAAGGTACAAACAATATCATAAGATGGACTATCTATGCAACTTACCCCACCCCAATATTTTCTCTCACTTTTTTCCCCCAAACAACTTTTTCCTCGCAAAGAACCCTCCCAACCCAAAAATAGCATGAAATAAGACTAAACTACCCTTGTTTGTTTTCACATGGCCTTATCTCTCATGTTTTCACACGCGCTCCGGCATTACAAACACGTGCTCCCGCATTCTGAATGTGTGCTCCAGCAATGTAGGTCTGAGCCGCAGTGCTCAAACATTATGAGAACTCGCTCCGGTAGTACAAATATGCGCTCCAGCATTTTGCTTCGGCAATGAAGTATCTAAAGCCACAACGCTCTAGCAATGGAGGAGCGCTCGCCGACAGTATAAACAAGTGCTCCGGCATTCTGAATGTGCGCTCCGGTAATGCAGGTCTGAGCCACAACGCTCCGACATCATGAGAACGTGCTCTGGCAGTACGCTACTTGGGACCCACAAATTGATTTGGTTTGTACGGGAAGGGCATTTCTGTCTAAAAACTAGCAACTTTTTACCTTAGGTGGTTTTTGCAAGGAAATATTGTTTTGCAAAAAAAAATGAGAGAAAAGATTGGGGTGGGGTAAATTACATAGAAAGTCCACGATGTTTTTTTTGTAATTTTCCCTAAATTTTAGGGATGCGGTTGTATACAGCATAGGCTCTAAACAATCACATTAGAGCCCACCTTCAAATAGTATCAAGAAATATTGTTTCAAAACGAGAAATCTTTGTGATGGCCTTAAAATATTTTTTCACCTATATTTATAAAGTTGAAAGCTTCAAATATAGTGTAGATCGACAGATCTATGAAAACTTGAAAGTCTTGAAAATTGACGATCCAAAAATGTGTTACAAAATACATTTTTTTTACAACTGGAAATCTATTTTTTTCTCATGTTCATGCATCTTGATGTTGAGATGATCAATTTGAAGATATTTGAGCATCAAAACAACATCTTCTAGTGAAATTTTTGAGGTAGGCTCCAATTTGATTGTTTAGAGCCTCGGCTCTATATAAACTTTTCCCAATTTTTATAAAGAGAAACCACAAAAAAAAAAAAAAAAAAAAAAAAAAAAAAAAATTAGGAGAGAAATGTCTTGTTTTTTAGAGAGAGAAAAAATCTCAAAATTTGATTTTTAGAGAAAATTATCTCGAATTTTGAATTTAGAGAGAAAAAATATATTAAAATTCTAGAGATACAAATTCTATCAAATTTTAGAGAAAGAAACTATCTAAACAAATTTAGAGATAGAAACTATATCAAAATTTGTGGAGAGAGAAACTATTGCAAATTTATGTTTCAGAGAGAGAAACTTAAAATTTCAAAGAAATAAGCTACATATCAAATGTTAGATAGAGAAAGTACATGAAATTTTTAAAGAGAGGAACTATCTCAAAAAATTTAGATAGAGAAATACTCAAAATTTAAATTTTAGATAGAGAAAATATCTCAAATTTTAAACTTTAGAGAGATAAAGTATATCAAATTTTAGGGAGACACTACCAAATTTTAAAGAGATAAATTATTTCAAACTTGAAGTTTTAGAGAGAGAAACCATCTTAAAATTTAAGAGAGTAACTATATCAAATTTTAGAGAGTAAAAGTACATAATTTTTTTTAGAAAAATAAACTATCACAAAATTTTTAGAGAAAAATTATCTCAATTTTTCTGCTTTTAGAAATAGAAAGTATCTTAAAATTTGAGGAAAAAACTATATTATAATTTAGAAAGAGAAACTATTTAAAAATGTTTAAAGAGAGAAACTATGTCCAAATTATTGAAGAGGGGAACCATCTCAAGTTTCAAGTTTTAGAGAGAGAGTATCTTAAAATTTTAGAAAAAGAAACTATATTAAATTTTAGAGAGAATAAAGTACCTAAAAATCTGGAAGGAGAAATTATCTAAAAATTTTTAGATAGACAATTTCAAATTTTAAATTTTGGATAGAAAGCATATTGAATTTTAGAGAGAGAAACCATATCAAATTTTAGAAAAAGAAGCTATCTCAAAAAAAATTTAGACACACTATCCCAAATTTCGAGTCTTAGAGAGAGAAATTATATAAAAAATTTAGATAGATAAATTGTATCAAGTTTTGTTATCAAACAATGGACATGGAAGTGATTGCAAGAAATCAAAGAATTTTATATAGTTTATCCAAACAAAAGATTTTAGAAATCCATGCCAAAAATCGATATTGAAAATCCATAGATTTCTTTGGATTTCAAATACTTAAGATTCTTAATTTCCTCCTATACAACCGGGCCCTAAAGAGGTTCCAAATATCTTCCTCCATCCCTTCCCATCATTTATGAAATAAAAAAAAGTCCATTGGGAATCGATCTAGGCTTAGGGCTCTGCGTGGTGGTAACATGAAATTGCTTCCTTGATTTGTTCTTTTTCAAATGATTTCTCTAAGCTTCTTGATTCGGATCAAATGAATGGAGAATGTTGGTCTTCTCAATGCTTTTTTGGAATCGTGTACAATAACGTCAATGTTTTTTGTTTTCTCCCCTGCATTGTGCCATCGTTTTCTTTACAATCTTGTAGCAAAGCATTGAAGTTAGTTGTCTCCATCATTTGCCGCATTGAGAGACCCTGATTTTGATGTTCAGCCATGTGCACCTATTGTAATCGTCTCCAAGTAATGTCAACTTTATTTGTAATATTCCCCAATGTTTTTAATCAACCCTATACTAATTGCAACTTTCTTGTGACCACACGCTAAGGGTCCGTTTCGATACAAGAAAATTAGGAATCTTAGATATTTGAAATCCAAAAAAATCTATATATTTTCAATATCAAGGATTTTTGTTATGGATTTATCAAATCTCTTAGTTTGGATAAACTATACAAAATTAATGGATTCCTTTCAAGCACTTCCATGTCCATTGTTCGGTAACAAAACTTTATACAATTTCTCTTTCTAAAATTTGTATATACTCTTTATCTAAAACTCAAAATTTGAGACAGTGTCGCTATAGAAAATTTGAGATAGTTTCTCTCTCTAAAATTTTGAAATAGTTTATCTCTTTAAAATTTGATACAGTATCTCTCTAAAATTTGATATACTTTCTCTCTCTAAAGTTTAAAATATCAGATATTTTCTCTCTCTAAAACTTAATTTTTGAGATAGTTTCTCTCTAATTTTTTTTTAAATAGTTTCTCTCTAAAAATTTCATGTACTTTCTCTATCTAAAATTTGATACAGTTTATCTCTTCAAAATTTTAAAATAATTTATCTTTATAAAACATAAATTTTACGATAGTTTCTCTCTCCAAAAATTTTAGAGATAGAAACCAAAATTTTTGAGGTAGTTTCTATATCTAAAATTTTTTAAGTAGTTTATCTATCTAAAAATTGGTATAATTTTTATTTTTAAAAGTTTAATATATTTTCTCTCTCTAAAATTCCAAATTCAAGATTGTTTCTCTAAAACTCAAAATTTGAGATAGTTTCTCTCTCTAAAAACGAGACATTTCCCTCTCTATTTTTTTTTTTGGCAGTTTCCCTTTCTATAATTTATAATAATTTATCTCTAAAAGTTTAAAAATACTTTCTCTCTCTACAATTTTAAGAATACTTTCTCCCTTTAAAACTTAAGATTTGATATACTTTCTCTCTTTAAAAATTAAAATATGAGATTATTTCTCTCTCTAATAGTTTATCTCTCTAAAAAATTGAGATAGTTTCTCTCTCTAAAAATTTGCATGTACTTTCTCTTTCTAAAATATGATAGTTTATATCTAAAACTTAAAATTTGAAATAGTTTCTCTCTCTAAAATTTTGAGATAGTTTATCTCTCTAAAAAAAAATTTGTACTTT